TTTTACTGAGATGAAATGAACAATACAGCATTGAGACAAATGGGTTCAAGATGGATTTGTCGACTTCCAGCAGTTACACAACCACGTGTTTGTCAAGTTCTTCCTATACCTCAGGAAGTTTTAGACCGACTTAAAAAACCTAAACAACCAGTTGAAAACAAACCAAACTAAAATTTTTTACTGAGATGAAATGACCGAAGAAGTTGAAACGGTAGATTTGACACCACAAACAAAAAGTTCAGAACCATTGTCAAAACCTGTCAAAGAACTTACAAATGAAGAGAAAAATTCAATAATAGAAAGTGCCAGGTCTGGAAATACAAACCCTAACTACAAAGTCACTTTTCATAGAAATGGAACGGCTAGTATCTCAAAAAAGAAACAGACTCTCACAAATAAAATATTGAAGTCTGAAGGAGCTTTCGAGACAACAGATGGAAAAGTTTACTTCACCGATCAACAGTTCATTATAGAACATCTCATTGACTTAGAGTCGAAATATTCTAAACTTTACAACAAACACAAAAAGTTGAAAGGAAAACAAAAACAAATGGCATATGATATTTATGAAGATGTTGACGACACAACCATACCTGCAAGTGAGGTAAAGTCAGAGGAACCGAAAAGTGACGAAAAACCAATAGAAGAAGGGAAGCCACAAACTGAAGAAAAACCAAAACCAAAGGTTAGTTTCCAAACTAAACCAAGCCAACCTTCATTAGCTGGTATGGGTTGGCGTCAAAGACTTTTGGCAGCAGGCGGTTATGTAAAGTAAAGAAAAAAAATATTTTTTTATTTTATTTGAAATGTACGCTGGGTTTGTTGGAGAGGACCGTTGGGAAACTTGTTTGTTAGATGAGAAATATGAAATTCACTGTTGTGAGTCATTTGAAGTCAGAAACAAAAAGACAAAAAGAGTTTTAAGCGAATGTGAGCGAAATAACGGATATGCTATGATGAGTATGAGTGGAAAAAAATATTTTAAACATATTGTCATTGCAACTCATTTTATACCGAACCCTAACAATTTACCTCTTGTAGACCACATAAACCGTATAAGAAACGACAATAGACTTGAAAACTTACGCTGGGTCACTTGTTCTGAAAACAGTAAGAACATAGGCAAATTTGGAGATATTGTATTCGAATTTGTCGACGAACTAGAAGATGAAACAATTGAAATTACAGACTATGGTAAGCATACGTTTGAGTTTTACTACTATAGCGAAGAACAAGACTCTTTCTACTTTTATACCGGCGTAAGCTATAGGAAATTACAAGTATGTTTTACTAAGGAAGGCTATGCTTATGTAAACACTAGAGATACAGATGGAAAAAACGTTAAAATATTTCTTAACAAATTCAAGAAGCTATATGGCATACCATTTTAAAACAGTATATTTTTATTTTTATAAAAATGCCCCCATATAGAATGGATAGAAAATCTGCTAGAATAAAAGCAGAGTTAGAAAGATATGGTTGGAAAGTTTCAAAGAATTTTAAATATAGGAAGGGAAGACCCATAAAAGTCTATGACAAACTGGCTGGTCTTCGCTACGAGATGGACTTGGAAACAGCGCGCGCCAATTATCCAAACAGATTAGAGAGGTTAGAAGAAGAACGTCTTATGAACTTGCCTTTCAATGTTAACGAGCCGCAAGTTGAAGGACACGACGGCTTTGCCAGATTCTACTGGAAACATGACGAACAATTGCATCCTTTGAGAAGGAAAAAAGGTAGTGCAGAGGATGGTCATGCTCCCATGGAAAGAACAAGATATGCATATGAAAAGTATCGTGAAGTTAGAAGTCAAATTGGTTCAGGTCGAACCTTTACAGTAAACTTTGACGAAGGAAAGAACAAAGAAGGCTTCATGGGAGTACTTGCTGCTATACAAGACGGAAATAAGAAAGGATATAATCTCAGATTGACTATAACAGATTTGGACGGTCATATATACTATGCGCACGGCAATGTCGCAACAGCCGCACAACTTCTTGACGCTTTCAAGACTACAAAGAGAGAACAAATGGTTGACTCCGACTCAGACATTTTGAATGCAATTGAAGGAATTGTAAGCGTCAAGTTCGAATGGTACCAACCCAACCCTCAAGCAGTCAGACAACATGCTGGGTATTTCCCGTTCAGAAATAAGTCTGACATTGACTTGACAAGGTATGGAATTTACAATTCAATTGAAACAATTGTCAATGAACCTTGTATTCTTACATGTCTCAGGAACTCTGGTCTTGTTACAGATGAGAAAATGAAGTATCTTGAGTCATGTGTGAAGACAAGGTACATGCTCAGAGGGCAATTGGCAAAAGTTGCACCGTTGGCAAATGTCAATATCCGAGTTAACATACCTACAGCTAAAGGTTCTTCACATGACGACTATGTTGTTGACAAAGACTTACCATGGTTGAAGATTGTAATTTTCCACAACCACTTCATGTTGAACGAAAGTCTTACAAACCCATTGTTCGGAAAAGGCAAGTGCAACATTGTCAGAGCTGTTAACATTCTTTTCGAGAAAGGTTTGTTGGAACCAATTCCAGATGACAAGCTGACAGAAAGTTTTGTACCAAAAGACGAAACAAACTTTTCACTGTTAGCAAGACCAAAAGTTGTTCCAGACAAAGTTCTAGTACAAAAGAAGTACACAGTTCCAAAAGGAGTTGGATTGTTCGGATACCAACCTGAACCAGAAGAACTTCCAATGAGGTTGCAAGAACTTCAAGATGCTATAAACAAACTCCCATTGAGACATCCAATTGACGTCAAATTGTATTGGAGAGCATCTGAGTTAGGTCAGAAGGTTTTATATGAAACAGGTTGCTTCGACGATGTTTATGAGATAACAGGAGAAGTTTCTCAGAAGATAAGAGACTCGCTTGAATTTCCACGAACTGGACCGATTGGATGCGACAAGTTCGACTCATACGAAAAAATATACTATGTTGACCTTAACGCTGCGTACATGAGGTTCGTCCAATATATCCCGACTGGAATTCCAAACGAAGATGGTGAGTTCCCGGGAAGGAACTATACAGTTGGAAAAGTCATACAACAACTGTATGATATTAGGAAAGCTTCAAACCCCAAACTTGCAATGACACTCAAATTGCTTATGAATTCGACATGGGGATATTCCATTAAGAAACCTCAAGAGATGAAGAGTAAACATTATGAGAAGGTCGACAACTTTGTTGAAAGGTTTTCTCCTTTTGTTTTGAAGTACGAATTCACTCAAGGTCAAAGTGGCTTAGTAACCACATTAAAACCTATTGTCGAACATTGGTCCTATCCTCAGTTCGCAAAGGCAGTCCTTGACAACTACAACAAATTCTTCTCCGAAGTCAAATCCAAAGTGAAGGTTTACTATGAGAACATTGACGCACTCATGACGAACGAAGAAGGCTATAACAAACTCATTGAAATGGGAATGGTTGGTGAAAAGATGGGCTGTTTTAAGCTAGACAAGGTATTTTCCGAAGTTCATGTACTCTCCAAACGTAAGTACTGGGGTATACTTGAAGACGGGACAGAAATAAAACATTGCATGAAATAAAACATTGCATGAAGTAAAAACGTTTTTAAAACAGTATATTTTTACATATATTAAATGTTTCAGGTTGAAAAAAGAGGTGGAGCCAAAAGTGGCTCGACCTCAAAACAAGCATTTTGTGAAGAATATACCAACCCGCGGAAAACAGCGGGTTGCTTTTTATACAAAGTTCACCCGTTGAATTTGTCATGAATTTCCTTAAGATAGAAAAAAATATATTTTAGGCGACCAGGTCACTCGGTCACTCGGTCACTCGGTCATTTTAACTTCTCTGAAAAAGTGTGACAACATGACATTTTGACAACAACACAGGAAATAGATATTTCATCGTATATTTTTTGTTAAGACTTCATCGTAAATGTTTTGTCAAGACTTCTTCATCGTATATGTTTTGTCGAGATTTTTATCGTTGTGGTCCGACGGTTAAGCCACAAACGAATGTCCGACGTCCCACCAAAAAATATTTTTTTATTTTTATTGTAAGAACAGTATGACAGTCGAAGCAAAAACGTTCACGAACAAATCTAATGGCGAAACATTCACAAAAGGCACTTATAACGGTATTGAAGTCTTACGTAGAGACAAGGATGGTTATATAAATGCAACAAATATGTGTCAGCAGTTTAGGAAAGACTTTAGAAGGTTGTTGGAAAATAAGTCCTGGGAAGAGTATTATACGGCATTTTGTGAAGAATATACCAACCGCCGGAATTCCGACGGTTGCTTTTTATACAAGGTTCATGCAGGAATTCCGGATGAAATCAAACAGGTTAGAGGAACGTATGTAGACCCAAGACTCGTAAACTATATAGCAATGTGGGCTTCTCCAAAATATTGCATAGCAGTTGGAAAAATTCTGGACTCCATAGACAAGAAAGTTCATGAGAAATTAGATGAAGAAGAACTTGAAGATACAGTAGAGAATGCAAAACCTTTGTTCGAACAAGAAGTTAGAAAAATGCATGAAAAACAAATAGAACATGAACGTGAGATATGTTCTGGTTATAGAGACTCTCCATACGAACTAAACCAATGGGAACAAGAAGATTTAAAGAGAGAATTTAGAGAATATGAACTCGCTAAGATAGCATTAGAAGCTGCAGAAAAGAAGTTAAAAGTTTGGGGTCGTTTTGTACAAAAATATTGTGAGTAAATGAACCATTTTTTTCGACAAAAATAATGTTTATGTTAGAATGTTAGATCTAACCTGTTTTCTAACCTCATTTCTAACATCGTAGAAAACACACAAAACTCTTGAATTTTACACCAAAAATATATTTTATGTTAGAATGTTAGATCTAACCTGTTTTCTAACCTCATTTCTAACATCGTAGAAAACTCTCGAAATTCATGAGTTTTGACACTTTCACAAAAAACATAAAAAATAAAATTAGTTTTTAAAAAAATATTTTTTTATTTTTATTGTAAGAACATGTTAGCAACTACAGCACCAAACTCGTTAGTCATGAACCCAACTTCAATGTTAGTAGAGATGAAAAGCTTCATTCCTTCTTCATATACTTTCGAAAAAGAAATCCAGAAGATAAAGCAAGAACTTCTCCAAGGAGATTTAGATTGCACTGCAAAAGATGAAACAGATGAAGAATATCTTTATGAAATGCAGGATATTATTGACCATCTACCTAAACTTCCTGAAATCCAACAACAAAAGCTTACTATTCCAGAATTCGATGAAATAGAAGTCAAAGCAACTGACTCAGTAGAAATAAAGAAGTTCATACGAAAGGTAAATTATGAATTCCTTGGTTTTCATTGCAACCATAAGGTTATGGACAAAGATTGCGATATGGTATATAAGAACATCTCTGACATATACAAATCTGGGGAGTTTAAGACCTACGACAACTTTGTTTCGTTAGTTGCAAAATGTGTTTGGGAAATAAGAGATAAAGATAGTAGGGGTAAGGTATGGAACGAACAAATAAGACCCGCTATGTTCGAGATGAAGAAAACCATTGACGCCTTAGTTGTTTTAGCAGGTAAGGTTTCAGAATATAACGCAAAAATGAACCCGCAATGTTCAAAATGTAAAGCAGCAATGAGGAAATATAACTACTCCGTCAAAGAGATAGAACGTATGCGAAACGACTATGCTGACTTAAAGAAAGAAGTAGAGAAACCAGCAGAAGATAAAATGGACATGTTAGCATTTCTGAACAAAAACTATCCAACTGCTGACGATTTCCTTCTATCTGACGTCAAGAAGAAGTATAAAGAAACTTTCGGTATCGTTAAAACTTTTGACATACTAAAAGAAGAAATAGAAGCTACAAAACTGTTTAGAATTTCACGAATTCACAATGTTTACCATGTAAAACGCTTATAAAATAACTGGGGTAGAAAAGAGGTTAGAAAACAGGTTAGATCTAACATTCTAACATAAACATTATTTTTGCTGAATTCCGTATGAAATTTCATGAGTTTTGTATGTTTTAGACCATGTTAGAAAACATGTTAGAAAACATGTTAGATCTAACATTCTAACATAAACATTATTTTTATTGAATTCCGTATGAAATTTCATGAATTTCCTTAAGATAGAAAATAAAAGCTAGTTTTTTTAAAATATTTTTTTTTATTTTGTATGTAAGAACAGGAAATGTTAAACATTGAGTTTGAAACAGTTAGAAAGATAGACAATGTCACCAAAGTGGTTAGAATAGGTGATTTAAACGTAAGATACTCAAAGAAATACAACAAATATTCTTTGTCAGACATTATATCTCCATCTGGAAAGAAAACATCCCACGACTGGGTTAGAACTGCTTCTAGTCAGAAAATTTTGACAAGAAATCCTGAGCTTATGATATCGGTAAGATTTCATGGAACTACAGCATATCTTATAGACAAAAGTCTTATACCAGTAGTTTTGTTCTGGTTAGACCCAGTTGTTGGATATAACTTCATAACTTATGGTTCATTCGATACGGAACGTTGCAGTGAAGGCTTACTTTACATCGTTCAGAAACCGAAGGACTTCAATACAAAAAGATATAAGATAGGAAGAACATATAATATAACTAAAAGATATGACAGTACAGTCAATAGAGTTAAGGTTGTGTTCGTTAACGATATGAGAGCTGCTGAAACAGAACTACTTGAAAAGTTTGAGAAAATGTATGGTGCTCCCACGAAAGGTAAAGAAACGTTTGAAGTAGATGAGATAGATAAAGCTATAAAATTATTTGACGAAGTTGCTGAAAAATACATGTAAAAATAACGTTTACCATGTAAAACGGTTGTGAAAAAAAGAGGTTAGAAAAGAGGTTAGAAAAGAGGTTAGATCTAACCTTCTACCCTAAAATATATTTTTGCTGAATTCAGCACAAAAATCTGAGTAAAATGGCATAAGATTGCGACCGGTAGAAAACCGCGGGTCGAGATTCCGTACGAAAATCGTAAAAAATTGCGAGTAGGTAAGAAATCCTGGTCGCCTAAAACACATGAAAACAGTGAATTTCCTTAAGATAGAAAAAATAACGCTAATTTTATTTTTTTTTATTTTTTTATCCGGAATATAAAGACAGATATGTCAACAACAGAGAACACAACAACAGTTATAGTCCATGAAGCTATAAATGAAGAATACGAGTGGGTTCAGTATAACAAACAGTTACGTCTCATTCGTTCGGTCAAAGATGACATGTACCAAATGCAAAGTATTTTGAATACTCTTCGTTCTACAAAGCAAGCATACCATTGGTTTGAAAACCAACAGACAAAAGAACTTTTAGAAGAATTTCCTCATATGTTTGCTACCCTCGGAAAACCGAGGGTAGAGATTCCGTACGAAAATCGCAAGAATTTGGCTCCTGGTTTGAGAGGTTGGTATGTACATAGACTTCTTGTAAATGCTGTTGCAATGTGGGCGTCACCTCGCTATGCTTGTTATATTTTCATGATGTTAGATGAAATTCATAGACAAGAACGTGAAGAGATGGAAAAGAAACTTCAAGCAAAAGATGAAGTCATTGAAGCAAAAGACAAAAGCATACAGAAAAGAATACCACGTTCGGTACCAAAAGGAAAGGAAAAGAACTATAAGTATATGATTTATACTGAAGAGATGGAAAATGAAGAAGACAGAGATATGGTTATGTTGCATTTAGTCAGAAGAAACAACAAAAGCTTTTACGACCTTGCTAAGATTTACAAATCTGACAGAAATTGGTTCTATCGCGAAAACTTACCGATTTCAATGACTCCAAATGAAGATGTTAAACAGATAGTTCAAGATACGTTACCTCAAACACACTATGATATGAAAGGTTGTACAATTCTTACCTTCAAAGAAGATTTGCCGCTACTGAAAGAAAAAATAACAGAGTATTTTGACAACTTCAAACAAGTAGGGTAGATGAACCATTTATTTTTGGTCTTGACTTCAGATGGCTCAGGTAGCTCTAGATGGTAAATTGTCTTGTCAAATCCTTCTGGCATTCCGAGTCCTTCCATCCGACAGGAAAAAAATTTCCCGACAACTGGAAAAAAATTTCCCGACAACTGGAAAAAATTTTCCAGTTGTCCGTCCGTAAACCATTCAAATTTTCGAAAATTGAGAACTTTTTTCCCGACAACTGGAAAAATTTTTCCCGACAACTGGAAAAAAATTTCCCGACAACTGGAAAAATTTTTCCCGACAACTGGAAAAGTTCTTCCTTCCGACAGGACACAAACGGATGACTGACGTTCCACCAACCGAGCCATTCCAAAGCCAGAAGAACCGAAAGCTGCAGCACCACAACAGACTAAGACTAAACTCTTTATTTTTGCTGACTTTTTACAATTTGAACTTTGTTCGCGTAGATGTGAATTCTGAAAGAAGTATGAGGGTCTTGTATGACTTTGTACTTCTCCCATAGTTCATGTCTGTCAAACTTACCTGCCATGGACTCTTTCATAAGTTCCATGAAATCGTCTTCGGACAATCCAGGGAAAAGTATTATGTCAGTAAGTATTCTCTTTACATCCTTACTTAAACTCTTGGCTGTCTGTACACAAATGACAACTGAGATGTTAAAGTGTCTGAGCTTCTTAAGAATTCGACACATATCTTGTTCTCTGTTCTTTAACAAAGGATGAGAAGCAAAGTCATCTAAGATAAGAAGACATCTATGAGGGTATGTCTTCCAATCGTAAGATTGCAATTTCTTCGAAATGTATTCTATCTCTTTCTGTTTGTTTCTGAAGTGTTTCTTCTCTAATATTCTCTGCATTTCCTCATTTGGGTCTTTAAACTTAGAATTTATATACTCATTTATAGCATTATACTTCAAAACTCTTCTTTGGTACTTCTTTATCCAATCTAACAACTCAGAGTCTTTTATACATACTAACTTAGACTTTTTTATAATATCTTTGAACGAATTGACGGTTTGATCGAATTGACCAGAAGTACTACAAATGACAACTAACTCATAGAATGGGTTCTTCTCATCTAGTTCTTGTTGTTGTGCAGCCATTTTAAGATAAGTGAAAGTCTTACCCGACCCAGGCGGTGCAATTAGACCTGTTATACCATTCTGAGCAAATAGGAACTTGTCATGTATGGGTTTTATCTGAGCATTTTCCAACTTCCTCTTGTTCTTATTTAAAACATTCTCAAATTTCTTGTCAATGTCAGCAAACTTTTTTTTTCTAACATATTTTTAGAAAAATTAAAATTTTTATCTTTTTGAAAATGTCTAGCGATTTCGCTATCTATATTCGAGACAAGCTTTTTGACAGCAAAACATCTGTCGACCATAAAATCTTACATAGTGTAAACAAGAAAGGTGAATTTGTTCTAAAGTTCTGTTTCTGGGAATATGACAAGAACCATAAAACATTAAGCAGAGAAGTCTTTAAGTTTGTCAATGACAGACTTGTTGACAGAGATGACGCCGATTGGAAAGATGAAGTCCAACAAAAGTTCTTAGAATGCAAAGAAGACACATGCGCTGTTCTTGAAGATGAAATAGAAAACAGAATAGAAGAGCTATTAAAGGACAAAGAACTTTTACATAAATATGGTTCGGAGAAATTTGACATAACTCCACCAGAGAAGAAGAAGAAGAGAGAAAAGAAAGAAAAGAAAGTAGAAGAAGAGAAGAAAGAACCTGAACCAGTTCCAGAGAAAAAGAAATTTGACATGTAAAAATAAACTTTTATTTTTAGAACATTTCTGGGTCAATGTCAATGTTCTCTTCCTCTTTAGGGGCAAACACTGGCTTAGACTCTAAAATCTTTTTACCTAATTTACCTTGAACTTCAACTATCTTAGACTCATAATATTCATAGTCGTCTGCTTTCTTTGGTTCATAAGGTATAACAAGTTTGTATGCTTTACCTTCTTTAAGGTTTGAAAACCTTCTGTCAAAACTTTCTTTGACTGCTAACAAACCTTCTATCTCTAAGTCTTCAAAAGTTGCACCACTTTTTCTAACAACAGCAAACTTAACGGGTTCGATGTTCCAAACTTTGTCAAATGTAGACTTTTCAAAATGGTAGAAGTAAACATTCAAATAAGCGAATGGGTCTAGTTCTTCTTTAAGTCCTGACATGTACTTGTTGACTGAGATGAATTTCATCATCTTTTCTATCGGATAAAAAAATATTTTTTTAAAATTTACTCAGAAAAATTTTTCTTTGTATATACGCCATTCTGAACATCTAAAAGATTTTTGACATTTGCCAAGAATGTTCGTTTAGAAGCTGCCATATAACCATATTCTTGACAATATTGTTTATATTCATCGTACAATGACCTTTCATCTAAACACTCAAAGTTAGTCTCATCTATGAACAGTTCATATACACTCTTGTTTGCTTCTAACAATGTTTGTCTTTCTTCGGTATGTGGAATTTGTCTTGGATTGAACTTAGAAATATCTAATGTCATAAAATATGAGAACAAGTGGTTGTAAAAGTCAGATGTCAAAGTTTCTGCTAAGTCGTCAAAATATTCTGTATCTTGCATATGAGAATCTGACGTTCTGATAACTACATATCTTCTGTCAGAACTTTCTAACTTCATCGGAACAACATTGTTTGAAACCATGATGAAATTTGCAACATTTTCACAAACTCTTTGGTCTTTATATTTTCTTTCAACAACTCCAACTTTGTCTGTTATAAGACTCTTCAAAGCATCTGAGTTTAAAACCTTTGTTGTATCTATACTTTGAAGTTCGTTACATACTATAAGTTTCATATTCTCTATTGAAGAGTTAAATTTACCGCAGATGTTTTCTAAGTTTGTCATATTAGGGTTCGAATAGCCCTCTAACAGTTTGCATAAGATATCTGTAAAGAAAGTGTTCTTACCAGTTCCTTTTTTCCAATTATAATGAGAGCAGTTTCATTTTTAGCACTTGGATGTTGTAAGATGTTTGCAAACCAACATAAGATATACTCATAGACTCTTTCGTTTCCATTGCATATAATTTCTTTGACATGGTCTAACCAAGCTTCTATAACATTTTCTTTCCATTCTACTTGTTCGTATTTATATCCAGTGAAGATAGAATAGAAGTTTGGAGAAGGTGTATAAAACTTTATACCTCGAACTGAAAAATCTTCTAACTTTGACAATAAGATATCCCAAGCATCTAACATCTTCATTCCAACTTGTACAACTTTTATTTTCTTAAGTTTCTGTCTACATTCTTGTTCAGACACTATTGTTGCTCTTGGTTTGTTAAAGACAACATCCCATTCTTTCATGACATAACATTCTGGGCAGAGTCGACATAAATGACTAAACGTTTCAAATTCTCGACTGCTTTGTTATAGTCTCTAAATGGACACATATTTCTGAATGCTTGGAAGTCATAAAAATCTGAAACATCTATTCTGTACATTTTTATAAAATAAAAAAAATATTTTTTTTATTCTTGACTTTGTTGTTGCATTTGTTCCATTTGTTGTTCTTGAGCTATTTGTTGTTGAAGTTGTTCTTGTAATACAATACTTTCACCAGTTGCATCTTCCAATTCGAAACTTTCTGCCGTCATTGACAAATACATAGGACATAAAAGTTTTACAGGAACAAAGTTTGCGTCAACTAATGTCAACGTTATACTTGCCAAAGTGTTTGAGTTCACTAAGGTTGAAAATTCTGCATTCGAATGAACAATAGGCAAACCAGCAGAGAAAGTGTTGTTTATACGCATGAGTATCTTTTGGTCATAGTAGTTTCTGTCGACATTCGAATAGCACTTTGAACCTAAGTTTGAAACAATATATAAAATAGGTGTACTTAAAGTCAATGGAACAGACAAACCTTGTATGACACCTTTTCCTGTTATAGGAAACTGTTGGTAGTAAAAACCAGATATAAGTTTTGTATTATAGCTCATATCGTTTATACTAAACTCAGTCGGACATCCAAACATAATGAAACCTGCTCTAGTTGCAGCACATGTTACATCCGTCCTTAAAGTATTAAATAAGTCAACAAAACCTGTTGGTGGTATATCTGAGTAAGTATCTTCAAAGAAGTATTTTTTACCATTCACAACAACAAAGTCTTCTGGTGTCAAAAGAGCAAAACAGGCTTTAGTCGTCATTGTGTTTAAGGTTAGTTTACAATATCGTCCTTGAGGACTTTGTAAGTTTGTTGTTATAGAATTATATGACTCAGGGTTTTTAGTCGTAATAGTATAAACCATTATGTCTTCTGCCATTTATATATATTTAAAAGTTTTTCTGAAAGTGGAGAAGAACTTCATCTAAACTTTCACATGACGTTTCTTGAAGTTCTCTGTCTAAGAAGTTCAAATATTTTGTAAAGACATAGAACTTTCCTTTGTCTACACGAACAAACAAAACAGGGTCTTTCATATCGTTCAAAAGTGTGTAAAGTCCTTTACATGAAATAAAGTCTATATTGTTTTTCTTCAAACATCTTTCAAGAAGTTTTGACATTTTTACTTAGCAAGTAAATTTTAATGAAATGTTGTGGTCGTCAAATATTTTTATGACGTCTGGGAAACTATATTTTAAGTTCAACGTTTCACCTCCTTTCATAACGTATATCTTGTCAATGACATTATATGAAACACCACAGCAAGCAATGTCGGGTTCTATTTCTTTGATGTTTATATCGTCTGCCTCTGTCAAAAGTTTCAATAGTTCTTTCAAAACTTCATGAGGTGCGATGACATATGAGTTCACTTTTACAGGGTTGTGTTCGACCAAGTTTAACATTATACTTAAAGCTTGACAAATCTTCTCCTGAGTTTTAAGTTTGTCTTTAAGTTGTTGGTAGTCGTTTCGAATATCTGCAACAGAACTTAAGTCTCTGCTAACTTCAGGGTATGTTGGTTGTTCTTTTACAGGAACTATTGTTATACCATCTTCGTCTTCGTATGGTTTCCCCACTTCAACATCTCTTTCTTTGACATTGACAACAACACTTTGACTGTTTGTTTGAGTTGGTGAATTTAACTTCACATCTGCCATCGCCATTAAACCTTTTGAAACACTCACGCTTCTATTTTTCGGAAATGACATTTTACTTAGAATAAAAAGATGGACGTATTCGAGTATCTCTTCGAATTGAAGCAGAACAAAGTTTACACACACAAACAATACAAATACATTGACAGAATAGTTCTTTATACAAACAATGGTAAATGTTATAGAATAGCAATATTTGCTGAACCAAAATATTTTCATAAAGCAAAGAAAGTTGGTATAACTGAAATGGTGAAAGTTCTTGAAGCAGACAAAAATATAACAACAAAACTTACAGATATTTCTAAAGGTAAGTTTATAATACAATATTATGTCAAAACTGGCGTACTGTCAATATTTGACGGAGAGAAGTCAGTTCAAGAACAACTTACTGACCTGCTGCCAAAATCTGCTCGATGGAAGCTGTCGTTATGCCAATCTGAGGAGCCCCAGCAGGTTTCATCGAACGAATCTTCAAAAGAGCATCTTCTGTGAAAAGTGCTATTGGTTTTGTAAACTTCTTTGCTCTCAGTTCATCTGGACCGTCTCTGTCACCAGTATATTGTATTTGAACTGTACCAACAGTTGAAATACCACCCATAAAGTCTTCTGAGTCAGCAAATGGAATGCCAAGCCAAAAGTTTGAACGGTCTCCATTTGTATATTGAGTTTTTTGACCTCCTGTATGAGTCCATACTTTCACATATGGCATAATAGAACTTTGCATTTCAGGGTTTATGGTTGTTGTGAAGTTGTTGTTAAAGTTCATAGCATCTAATGTCAAGTTGTATGACCTCATATCCTCAACTGTAGAATATTCTTCTCTTGGATAGTATTTGCCATCTATGTTTATATGGTATTTAATACCAGGGTTGTAGAAGCAAGAATAGTCATTTATAGTTCGTCTGAACAGTACAAACATAGTATCTGCATGTTTCATTGCAGTTGTTAAGGCAATATCTGTTCTTGCACCTGGGTCAGCACTTTGGTTTCCAACTTCACCTGCAAAGTCTTTGACAGATATTTGGTGTATAGGGAACATAAGTGGAACTGCAATATATTTGGCAGCTAAAGCATTTGAAATATCTGGGTCCAACATATAGACTGCAAGTCTGCTTTCTATTCTCTTGCATTCAAATTTTTCGCATGTGAACTTAACTGGGTCCCAAGCAGTTCCAGCAGCATTGAAGTAGTAGTTTACTTCAGTGTTTGAAGTTTGAGAAACCAAAGTCTAAGTCAACTTTGTCTTTGCAAAATTCGGCGAATGACGTTTGATTTGCTCCCTTTACGTCTGTAAGAGTGAATGGGTCTTGTGTTGGTGCAATGACTAAGTTATTTTTGCTTGGAGTAAGTTCGATAGAAATTTTTCCTGCCCAGTTTGGCAAGTATCTTAAAAACCTGAAGATGAGGAAAGATGACAAAGGAACTCTAAGTTTCAGTTTTACTTTGGTTACTGCTGCTGCAGTTTGTCCAGAAAGGTTAACATAAACTCCTGGAACGTTAGGGTCAAGTCTTCTTATTTTCTCAATAGTTGCATACTGGTCTGTTTGTTCTCTAGCTTGTGGTTGTACTGAGTTTCTCAAAGCGAACCATTCATAGTTTGCCCATGTTACTGTTTGAACTAAGTCAGAGTTAGAATATATCTTATATCCCATGAAAACTTCTGGAGCATATTGGTATCCGACATAGAAAATTCCATTGCAACCTTTCTTGTCAGACAACTTGGCAGAAGGTTTTATTTCAATGTCTTGTTCCACGTATAAGAAAGAGTTGTCAATAGAAATTATATGAAACCTGTCGCAAGCAATATCTACTGTTGTTGAAGAACCTTCTCCAAACTCACCTACGTTTCCATAAGAAACAGCAGTTGTATATTCGTAAGTTCCAGGAACTATTTCTGACCTTCTAATGGCATTGTCGCATTCGTTATACCATTCGGAAACATTTCCATTCATAGCATCCAAAACTGTTGGCGTTATATTCTGAGCGGCGTACATTTCATATGAGTAAAAATATAGAATAGTTGGATTTATATGTCATAATAGAACCCACGTGGACCAAGCTTTACTTTCTTCCTGACTGAGTTTTTAACTCTTCTTTTTCCTTCATTGCCCTCTGCTTGAAGTTGTTGCATCTTTGCATTATGTTCATCTAGTATGTTGCAAATTTCCCATGTCCTTTTTGCCTTTTGGCTCTGGTCGCCCATCTCAGGTAACCTATATCCTAGAAAGAGTTTGTCATAGTTTGTATTTGAGTCTTCGCGTATTGTTTGCATGACTCTTTCCTGAGTTTCCGGTTCAAGCTCTTCAAACAGTGCCTGTCCATATGGAATAAGCTCGTTTCCAAATATATGTTTTTGTAGCCATTCTGGTTTTCTTTCCATGTTACCAACTATATCTTTTGTGAATGGGAAAGCTTTTACCCAATCTTTCAGTCTTGCGTCGTTTATTTCTGTAGTTGGTTTTATTTTGTCAAGGAACATGTTTTTCAATACTAACATTTCATTTGGTACTGTCCATTTGAGTTTTCTTAAATATTCATCCCTTCTCGGTTCATTGTCTGCAAAGTAAGTTTTTATGACATTTTGTAAACTTTCGTTTGCAAGGTCATGTACAATAGGTTCTCTTCCTTCTTTGTCCCTAACTTTCTTTCTAAACTCTTCACCAAATATACCATCTTTATGGTTCTGTGTAGTTCTTTGAGATAAATGTTTTAGAACGTCAGGTGTTATATTTCCATCAGCCATGTTCATTTCATACTGGTCCAAAATATCTGCATGTTTCATATCTTTCAATGGCATTAAAGCCGCGCTGAAAATACCAGCTATATCTGGTTCACCATTGACTTCCATTGCGTCTACAACTTCTTGGAATTGTGGTTGTAAGTTTATGAACCACCTATCCGGGTTAGCTTTATGACCCCATCTCATTGTAGTTCCATCGTCTGCAGAAACAAAAGTAGGTTTGTTTCCATCTTGGTTAGGTTCTGAATGAACTTTAAACAATGTTTCATTTCTATATGTTTTCTTGAAATTTAACCTTTTATTTTCACCGAGTTCATCCGAAGATTGAACGTTAAATGCTCGTAAGTAAAAAGGGTTGTTGTATTTGTGTACATTTTCTTTCAGTGCTTCCATTCTATGCCGAATATTTTCATCTGGTGCTGGAGTCTTTTGTATGTCGGCAAACATTTTTCGATATTCTTCTACTATGTCAGCCGAATTTTTTTTAGACTCTTGGAAATATTCCATATTCTCCGCATACTCTTGTTGAGGGTCAAGATTTTTCGGCTGTTCCAAATCTTCATCTAGTTCTGTGAAGTTAGTTTCCAAAGGAAGGACTTGTTCGTTTCCTTCAGGCTCTTCTAGCTGTTGTTGCTGAACTATTTCTTCCATGTCTGGTTGTATCTGAACTTCTTCCTGTGGAGTTTCTTGTACCTCATCTGCTGGCATTTCATATATTCCGAGACCGTTTTCAACAATTTCCCTATCTACGTCATCCGCATTCATAAGCTTTTGTTCTTTCGTTCCGTCTCTATTTTTTACGCGTTTCATGACGAAAGTTGAATTGTCATTTAGCTCTGACATCAAATATCTCGGAGTAAATTCGTTCATGTCATTTGGATGATATGCTATTAAATCATATCCCTTAGCGAGCTTGTATTTTCCAGGTTTGAGATTATATCCGTTTTGGTGCTGAGCCATAAAGCTAAATAGGTTCGGGTCAGTATTTCCATCCTTGAACTTTCCAATAGCTTCTTTATATCTGTCACTAAAGTCAATACTATCTGGGAAACCACACTCTTCTTTAAGCATTTTTAAGAATTCTTGGTTTCCTTGTTCTCTACTTCTTTTATGTCCTTGCTCTGTTTGTGGTTGTTGTTGTGCAGGGTTTTGAACTGTTGGTTGCTGTGCTGGTTGTTGTGTTGGTTGTTGTGCTGGTTGTTGTTGTTGTTGTGTTGGTTTTGGTGCATGCCTGTGTCTGTGTCCATGTGACGATGTAAATGTTTTAGGTAGTCCTGGTGCAGGTGCTTCTCTTGGAGGGTTTGGTGGTATATAAGTTCCACCAGCTGGCACATATGTTCCATCTGCAGCGTAATGTCCTACCTGACTTTTCGTTTTTAAGAAAGCATTTACTAGGTCTGTTTTGGTCTGTTGTAACTCTTTTTCTTGACTTTTCACAACAGTTGCTCTAACGGCGTCATAGGCACTTTGAACTGCCTGTCTCGTTGCTGCATCTGTTATTTTCGTCATATTTTGTGCTACTTCTTTTAACTCTTTGTCGAAACCTTCAGACTTCAGTTTCTTTCCAGATGAGAAGTCGTTCACTAGTTTCACCTTACTATGAAGAGCTTCGAAGGCGTTCTTAAAGTCAGCATTTGTTAAAGTTTCATTTGAACTGTCTTCATCCGCTTGTATTTTTGTCCTTATTGACCCTATGAGTTGGGCTGCTTTAGCGTTGGCTTGGGCATCTAACCAGTCATTGTTAGCTTTTATATATTCTGCGCTTTTCATTGCCTTTTGCATGGCTGCGTCGTTATTTTTACTTTCTTGTGCTAAGTTTTCATACTGTACGGTTTGGTTTTGCAACTGTAAAAGTTTTTCTGCCTTTACATTTGCTTCAACTTCTTTTTTATACTCATCGCTATCCATATATGTCTTCAGGGCTTTTTGTTTTATCTCTTCATCTTTCAGTACTTTATATCGAGTAGTATGGTTTTTCAAATTTATGACATCTTGTTCCATTTTTGCTACTTCTGCTGCTTTTTCTGACACTTTTTTCGCATATTCCTCTGTACTTAGTTCTTTCAGTTGTTCTTCTTTCTTCTTTTTCTCTACGTTTAACTCATTGAGTTTCTTTGTGTGTCTGTCATATTCTAGTTTCTTTTCGTTTTCACTTATTTGCTTCTGTATGTCTATGTTTGACTTTTTGACATCTGTTATTTGATTTTTGAGTGAACTCAAATTCATTTGACTTTGAGGGTTATAGGCTGTTCCGTCTGCAGCTCCACCATAGCCTGCCATTTTCGCTAAAAGTGCCGCTCTTAAACCTCCACTCTGTGCACCAACAACTCGGTTTAAAAGCATAGGATTGCTTGACATTTGTTGCAACATAGTGGGGTCATTCAGCATTTGTTGTTGCAACTGTTGTTGTGGTGTTAGTTTTACTATTGGATGTTTCAATGCTCTCTTCCTCTTACGTATATTCTTACGTAGCTTACGTGGCATTTTAAGTGAAGTTAAAAAGCGGTTTTTGACAGATGTTTTATTGTGACTTCTTCGTAAAGACTTTGTTGAGATTTCTTCGTAAATGAGTGTAAATGACCCAAAAATATATTTTAGGGTAGAAGGGTATATCTAACCTCTTTTCTAACCTCTTTTCTACCCTCTTGAATTTTCATGAATTTCTTCGTAAATGTTTTGTCAAGACTTCTTCGTAAAGACTTTGTTGAGACTTCTTCGTAAAGACTTTGTTGAGACTTCTTCGTAAATGAGTGTAAATGACCCAAAAATATATTTTAGGGTAGAAGGGTATATCTAACCTCTTTTCTAACCTCTTTTCTACCCTCTTGAATTTTCATGAATTTCTTCGTAAAGACTTTGTTAAGACTTCTTCGTAAAGACTTTGTTGAGACTTCTTCGTAAAGACTTTGTTAAGACTTCTTCGTAAAGACTTTGTTGAGACTTCTTCGTAAAGACTTTGTCAAGACTTCATCGTAAAGACTTTGTTGAGATTTCTTCGTAAAGACTTTGTCAAGACTTCATCGTAAAGACTTTGTTGAGATTTCTTCGTAAATGACCCTAGTAGTATATTTTTGGTGTAAATTTCATGAAAATTCAAGAGGTTAGAAAAGAGGTTAGAAAAGAGGTTAGATATACCCTTCTACCCTAAAATATATTTTTGGTGTAAATTTCATGAAAATTCAAGAGGTTAGAAATGAGGTTAGAAAAGAGGTTAGATATACCCTTCTACCCTAAAATATATTTTTGGTGTAAATTTCATGAAAATTCATGAAAATTCAAGAGGTTAGAAATGAGGTTAGAAAAGAGGTTAGATATACCCTTCTACCCTAAAATATATTTTTGCCGAATTCTGTATAAAATTCTGAGTAAAATGACAGATGTTTATATGACACTTTCTCCGGTTTATAGGACCTCTCTCATATTCTAAACATCTTCGGGGCTAGAGGGCACGAAGTGCCTGGAAGCCCCACTACCTTTTTTTTTTTTTTTTTTTTTTTTGATAAAATTATATTTATATAAGATTTCATGTTATTATTTCATCTTTATTATTTTTTTTTATTCCTTTGAAAAGTGACACTGGATAGTTTGTCCCTTTCTCAAATTATATTAAAATTGGTCAGCCGAAATAAATCTCTTTGGAACTCATTATGAAAATGCTTCATATTCAACTAATATACCGAATTATTATATTTTTCAAGGGAAAATGGGAAGGATTTTATTGACAAATCAAGATTTTAGCACAAATAGTTTCTCATTATGAAAAATCATTAGAACTTACTATACAGAAGATTAATTTCTAATTAAATAAGCAATTTAAGATCTTTTTGAATTTCATCCATTTTTTATTTTCTAATTATCTGTCTCGAACATATTTTCTAGTTTTTAAACATCTTGTGAAATGCAACGAGACTAGTATAATTCAATGAATGCAACATTCCTTACAAAAATTTCTACAATATGAGCTCAAACCCATTTTTTGTTTAATTAAATGTTTTAAAATTGGCATGTATATTTATACATGAGTAAATTATCTAAAAACAAGAAATTTCTCTGTACGTTTTCTAAAAAGATGGAAAACGAACTTTATGACGCTCGATCCATTTGGGCAGTCATAAGATTGCAGGCCATCTTTCGAGGAAAGAAATACAGAGAAAAAGTTGCGATGATGGATCGTGAAAACGCTTGTGCTCTCAAGATTCAAACATGCTTCCGTCAATTCAGACAGAAAGTCAAAATATTACATTGTCGTGAAATTGTTGCAATGAGAGTCATCACAAAATTCATACACGACTACAAAGCACGTAAGTTATCAGAAAAACAATACCAAAATTTAGTTTCATTTGATCATATTTTATTTTACTATCCGTCAGCGTCACGAAATCTTAAATCAGGCGATCTTCCATCACCAAAAAAGAGTTTACGCAACACAACAGAATTTCCACGACCAAAATCTTCAAAAACTTCAGCGAAAAGAGAGATAATTGCAAAAGGATACGCAGTTGATTTGAAGTCAGCAGTTAAAGACGCACGAAAACAAGCGAATAAATCCAAACCACAAAAAAGAAATATAATTATTGAATTACCACCACCGTGGCACGATGAGAATCCAGCAAAAATATCTACAACGCAGAAAGATGAAATGCTTTACGAACAAAAATCTAACTTCGCCTGGGCAAAATCAGAATTACTTCCAAGATTTTTATATATTTGCGACCAATACTTAGAAATGTGCGATGATTTGATAGCTAGAAATGACAAATACATGAAAAGAATTGTCCAATACCCATCAATTATTACTATTCCTCGATCATCGAAACCAACTTTCATGAAATCAGCTCATGAGATTGTTCCTTTCCCAGAAAAAGGTCTTTACTTCGTTGCCTCTCTCACATCAGCTGCATTTATTGAACTGGAGAACTTCACACATGACCATTTATGCCATTTGACAGACATTCAAACAAATGCTCCACTTTTAGATGTAGCAATTCAACCTTTCAGCGGCCAAGTGTTCGGTATTGATAGTAGATGGAAGCTCCACATATTCGAATTAGGCATTTCCATCTTCGAAAGACAACTTGAAGTTCCAATTAAAATTCCTGATTCGAGGAAATTTATATTTTTTGACAAAATTGGAATGTTATGGATAAATTTATTGAGTCAAGGTGGCAATTTAATATGTTGTGATCCAATAACTTTAACTCCTACCATTCAATTTACAAGGGAAACATTGTTTAGTGTCGAATACCAATTAGTTAAATTATTAACAATCACTCCATTGTCATATAATAACAACGCAACAGGTTTTGCTTGTACTTTTGTTGATTCATCGGATGTTTTCATTTTTTCTAATGATTTTTCAAATCATAGAGTTCTGAAACATCCGAATATGAAAGGTATGGTAAGAGTTTCAAGGTTTGATACAAGAATTTTTGTTTGGTCAACAGACAAAATCATTTATGTCTATGAATATAAAGATAGATTAGAATTTATATCATTAATTGGTTCATTTTCTGTTGATGCTGTTCCATTAGATTTATATGCTACTGATGTTCCGAATTTAATTTATATTTCTTGTGATGACGCTTCTTTCCATGTTTTTCTTGGTGAAGCAGTGGAATATGCACTAAGAATACCAGAGAATAAGTTATCTCCAATGGAATTAATGCATGCAGAAAGATTAATAGGAAAAATGAAATATACTCAGTCAAAAAAGATATTTTCTACTTACAAACCTGCTAAATTTACATCTCCTGCATTTAAAATATGCGCAATTCCAATTACACCACGATTTGTCATAGTTTTTGGAATTGTTAATGGAGGATCCATCTGTTCTCTTTCTGTTGTTAATGATTTGATAAGTACTCCTGCAAACGAATTCGATAATATTAATACTTCTGAGTATAACAATGCAAGAAAAGTTGCTTTGAATGAATATGGAAATGCAAGTCAGAAAATGTTTAATCAGAGACAAAAATACTTGGAAATGAAAAGTAATTTGAATCATTTCGATTCATTGGCAATCATGAATCAAATGAAAAGGATGTTTTATCCAAATTCAAAATATATTTCTTTGACAGATTTAATTTTGAAGACGAAAAACAAAGCATTATATCCTTTTGTTCCTTCAACTGATGAAAAATCAGTTTCTGCTTACGAAGTATTTCATTTCTTGAAAAGAGCTGATATTTTACCACAAAATTTGATGACTTTTCCTGATTTTCTAATGAAATTCGCTCCTGAAGACGAAATCCTTGATAATTGTGATTATTCAATTGGCTTGACAAACCATTTATTACCTGTAAGAACCGATGGATATTACAAAGCAATTTCCAACATTGCTTATTCATCACAAAAAGTTACTGAAATTATTTGTCAAATAAATCCTTTGGCGAATTTGAATTTGAAATTAAATGATTTCACAATTTCACAAGCAGCTGAAGGACTTGGATCAGCAAGTATCAGTAGGAAATGGTTGTCAAGAATACAAAAGGAGGAATTATCAAAGAGAATTGATCAATTAGAAAATTTGGAAGATTTAGTTAAACATGAATTGATGAAAAGAGTTCAAGATGGAATTAATGAACAGTTAACAGCATCTTTCCTTGATAAAATGCTTCCTGTTCCTCCAATTGATCTACGAATTGTCCAAAAAGACACAGATCCCAACCAAATCCAATTAACTGTCAAACCAAATCGTAACATCATTTTAGATGACACATTACACAAAACAATTTATGATACAAAGTCTAAATATACTTTGTATGGAAGAGACAGAGAACAAAGACAGATCATTCATGCATTGCATATTCCAGAAGAAGAGTTTGATAAAGACTTTACTGATCATATTGCTATTGTTCAAAAAGTTTCTTTCGCTTCTCGAAAGATTTCACTTTTGGTGAATTCATTTGGAGCGATTGGTGATGGAACAACAAGAGTTGTTATTGGAGAAGGATCAAGAGCACTTCCTTTATCACATTTCCTAAAAGTACATTCTTTCTTAGGTTCAGATCCGAGATCTCTTGGTGTTGCAAACTCGATTTTATGCAAGTCATTGCAAATCTTGTATTCTCTCCACAAACTTGGAATAATTCTGAGAACATTTTATCCAGAAAACATTTATTTGAATGTAGAAACAAGTCAAACAATGATTGGATCAATCTTTGATGCACAATTCAAAGATACTCCTATTCTTCCTCTCCCAGAACCCTTCAACCATCCATCAAATCCTTTCCTTCCTCCAGAATATTTCCATGAACCGCTCGAAAAAATGACAACTGCATTTGATGTATGGCAACTCGGCATGTTGTTGCTGTATACAATCACAGGTTATCTACCAAAGTCATATGGACTTGAATTACTTGAGCATTTGGGTGAAGATGTCAACGATTACCAGAAATTCGAGAAGAATGGACAATACAGAAGCAGTAGTTTTCATCGAACTTATCCAAGAACACATTTCTTCTATGATTGGCTGAAAGATGCGAAAATGGTCGGACCAAATGAGCGATGCACAGGTGAAAGAGGCGAATGTTTCATCAGAAGTGATGATTGTAATCTCAAGAATCCAACAATCTTAGATTTAGATCATTATACACTTCTACCTTACAAAAACTCAAAAATCAATTATGATGAATCTAAATTATATTTGTTGATTATCGCGAGCTGTTTGCAAACCGATCCAGCAAAAAGGCCACAAGTTGAAGACTTATTAAGAACTTATTGCTTGGGCCAGCCATCATCAGGAACAGAAGCTCTCGATGTCTATTTGAAAGTTCCGAATCAAGATGTTTTTACTTCACAGTTCTTTTATCCAATAACATTTTTGCTCAAAGAAGAAACATTTTTCTTTACAATGGGTGTCTTGCAAGCACTGATGTTCCACGACGAAGATGATGAAGATGACGGACAGTTCGCTTTTCCTCTTGAAAACCATGCAGCCGATCGAATTCTTAAGTCTGTTTTCAACCTCAAAATTTTAGACAAACTTGTTGAATTCGCAATTAAAAGGGTAATTTCAAGGGTAAAATTACAAGATGTTGTTCCAACCATCACTTTTTCGGATCAATACTTTGAGCGCTTATTAGAGTTCCTTATGCGCATTATCTCGAGTGTTGAGAAAGGTATCGGACCATTAGTTCCTTACACTATGGAAACTGTTTTACAAATCATGTCACTTTTTGCATGTAATCATACAATTCGATTCAGCTCTTCTATGATTTTAAGTGATTACAAGAGCATCAGTTTCCTTCTGAATCATGATCATTCTCCAGCATTCATGTATACGTATTACAAAGTGCATGGAATCCTGAAATACATCTTGAGTAGTTCGATTTCTATTGCAGGAAGTATAAAATTTACTGATGAACATTCAGAATGGTATTTCAACAATTTCCTCAATTTTGGAGAGGCTAATTACAACATTTCTCATGCACTTTGCTACTCAATTGACAAACAGAAAGGTAACTCCATCAAAACACTGCAATCGATGTGGAATAATGGACAAACAACAGCAATTGCAAGAATTTTTAATGATTTTAGAATCATTCAAAAAGTTTTATGTTGTTTGTATATCCACAACGTAAGAGAAGAAGCTTTATCACTTCTCCAGAGTGTTTTGAGTGTTTCCAATTCTAAACTTTATGATGCAAGCTTTAGAATCCTTAACTTTGTTGTAATGAATCCAATTTTCATGCAAAACGTAAATCACATGATGAGAATTTCTGTTTTGAATGACAAAGTCAGAGAAAACGCAATTCAAACAGCCAAAGAAATGTTCCATACAAAATCTCCTTATTCTTTGATATTCTCTGACATTTTGTTCTCTATTTTTGAGACAATAAGAGAACCACTTTTCAAGCAAATTGTTGATGAATATCTCAAAAATTCAAATCCGTTTTTGATAAAATTTGTGACAAAATCGAACTTTTTGTCAAAAATTTTACGAAACAATTTCTTGACTTATAATTTCGAAAACTCCGATCAACACTATGTAGACATGGCTACAGATGTAAATGAGAGTTTAGTTCTTGCAAAGAATTTCTGCAATCTTCTTTATTTGCAGAATAATGCTTCAAAAGATGTTGATTATCAAATTGACATCAAAGTTATTTTATCTTTCTTTTACAAATCATTTGGAATCATTCAAAGAGAGTCTGATTCCATTTCGAAGTATTTGGATCAGCAAGTACATAGAGAGAATAGATTTGATTTGAAAGAAACAACATTCTTGCAAGAAAAGAACAAACAAAAGGAATTCCTGATTTCACAAACACAAAATTCGATTTTGGAAATTTCTGTTGTTTGTTTGGAACTTTACAAACAAATCGCAATTTACATGACAAATAATGACATTTTGAATGAAGAGTTTTTGGATGTAATATTCCAGAGATCAATGGCTAAATTTGGAACATCAAGATTAAGAATACATCCAAGCTCTAAAATGATTTCTTTCTATACAGAAATGATTTCATTTTCGTTGACGAAATTGTCAAAATCTTCTCCTGTTTTCAAATATTTCAAAGCAAATATTTTGAGGATTTTGGACATTTTCAATCATTATTTCATGTATTATGAAGACTTGGAGTCAAAAAACTTGGTAGAAAGCCAGTTATCTGAGGTTTATGTTTATCACAGAAAACTCAGATTTAATTTATTCAAAACAATTTTGATTGAAAGTGAAGATTTGTCACCTTTTTACAAATTCATTGAAAAAATGTTGAGTAATCATTTGAACTTCAAATTGGATGGAATACAATGTATCCTCAACAATATGAAATTCTCTATTAGAAGTGAAGCTTTAGATATGATTGACTATTTGACGAGAAACATTGAGAAATACAAGAGACAATTTTTCAAATTGTGTGAAGTTTTTAATGCGAATGCGGAAAAGTTTGTTGAGAATGAAAGAAAGATGATGCAAGTTGATGACAACGTTTTATTGATAGATCAGTCTATTAAGATCATTGAGATAATCTTGAACCATAATCTTGTCATTGAAGATAACGAACTTCGTTCTCTTTTGATTTCTATCAGAGCAAGATATCAAAGGCAAGTTGAAGAGAGTAAGTTGAAAGAACAAAGGAACGAAAACAGACAAATCATTAAGGAAGTGAAACATAGATCTTCTTTGGCTTCAACATCAAGGCTCAAAACTGCAAGAAGAACAAATATTTTTGCACCAAACTTGTCAACAAGAAATAGACCGGCAACAGTTGCTGCAAAAAGATCTTATGGAGTTCTCAAATAACTTTTTTTTATCTTAATATATTGTTTTTATATATTTTGTTGTTTATTAAAGTAATCTTTGTTATGTAATTTTTTTGATCAATGCTTTTAGAAATAATAATATTATGAATAATAAAAATGATGTTTATTTAAATGAAATTAAACATCCATATTTTCTTCTGATTTATTTTCATCAGATTGGATGTCTTCACTTTCACCTTTACTTTGTCGCCTCTTGTAAATAATGAATCCAATAATACAAACTGCTGCAATAACTATTAACGCAACAAGTACTCCAGCAACTATTCCAGCAGTATTCTTTTTGTTTGCACCATTTGTATTTTGTTTATCATCCTTAGGTGTTTCAGGTTTTTCGTTATTTGGAATTTCAGGTTGAGGATTTTCTGGTTCTGACTTTTCAGGATCTGGCTTTTCTGGTTCTGGTTTTTCTGGATCTGGTTTTTCTGGGTCAGGTTTCTCCGGATCAGGTTTTTCTGGATCTGGTTCTGGTTCTGGTTTTTCTGTTTCAGATATATTCTCTCCATCCAATGTGATTACATATTTATCTAAATCTTCAGAAATGGCAGATTTGTATGTGCTGTTTTCAGTGATTAAATATGATTTTTCAACAGCATGTGGATTCTCAATATTGATTGTGATATCTTTATCCTTAACTGCCTCAGAATCAATTTTAATCATTAATGGTTTATCAAATTCATTTTCATTGCTTCTAACATATCTTGTATCCTCCCCATAAAGGAAATTATATTCGACGTTAAACATAGCGGTTTCATCAATACGAACTTTTGTTCCCTTGTAAAAGAAGAAAATGTAAAGAGTTTGACATTTTCCAGACATTACTTGAATGTGACCTGGTTCTGTAACTTCAGTATTTGTAAAAGTTACAGACGAAGAACCATATACAATAGCTTGTTGGCAATCATTTTGATACATCTCGTAAAAATTAACAAATGCCACTTTGGAATTAAAGACACCTTCATAACTTAGAATCAATTTTCCATTTTCTTTAAAAGCAACATTCATGATTCCAAATCTCAGCAAATTCTTTTCATGATTAGTAAATTTGGCAACTGCAACAATACCATCAAAATCATCACAGTAAATTGAAACAGATGTTCCTGCTTCAATGTCAAATTCTCTTTTTGTTCTTGTCAATCTGATGAAGAATTGTCCATGTTTGGGATACTCTACTTCATGATATGTAACTTCAGATGAAGCTTCTGATGCCTGAGCATAAAATTTATTTTCATAATCAATTTTCTTGAATGGATATTCTTCGATTGCAGGATTTTGGTAATATTGATTAACAACCATTTGGAAGCTGCGATATAGTTCTCGAGTAGGTTTAACCACCACACATCTTACGTTATCTATACTATCGCCAACTCTAGTATTACCTCGAGTCGTTTCATAAATTGTCATTTGATAATTAAATTTGATTGAACAATTAAATGTATTTACGATGATAAGATAATCGTTAGTACCGAAATAGCTTTTAATTGATATCACATCGTTATTAACTTCAGAGTAGTAATTGATAATAAAAGTTGGATAATTAAAATCCCAAAGTGGGAAAAAGAAATAATGTAGTTGATTGTGATCGTATATTCTGGTTGAATTTCTTATGATTTTGAAAGTTTTCGTTTCATCTATCTTATAATGAGTTTCCAATTTTTCAGAATCCTCAAATACAAAGTTTTCAGCATTGGAAAATACTACATATCCAAATTTAAATGTAATTGTAGCTGTACCTGAAGATGGTACATCAAGGAAACCATCATATGATATATATTCACTGGATTCAAAAATATTGGCAGACATGGATTGATCCATTGATGCGAAATCGAATTTTGGTACATTACTATTTTCTTCTTCTTCTTTTGTTGATGAAAAGAAATAACATTTATGATTTGAGTCAACAGTCTTTGTTCTATATCGATCAGGTTCAAGATGAGATAAATAATCCCTAATCGGTTTATAGCCATAAAATCCCCGAGTTGATGAAAAAATAGGAACAATTTCATACTTTTTACCTTCTTCCAATTCCTTATTTAATGTATAGATGTTTGAACCGGATAAATAAAGGAATTCTATATAATCAACATCGGTTAACTTAACATAACAAATTATTGTTATCTGGTGTGAGCTACTATCTTCTCTAAAAATTGGCGAATTTTTGGATATTGTTATCAATTTCTTATTTGCATAAGTTGATAACAATCGATTACCATTTTCATCAATAAATTTGTCATTATTATAAATGACGATAGGAACAATTTCATTATTGGAACATATTAATATATCAGTATCACTAGAATCATATAAGTCTAGAGTGTTACTGCGTGCTAAATATATAGTCTTCTTAGACACTTTAGAATATAAATCTTTCTGGATGTTGGTAATCACGATTTCATCAATCAAATTATTATCCCTTAATCTTTGCTGAATATAGGTTAGTTTATCGGGATTTCCTCTATATATTGAAAAATAATCTACTAAATCATATTCCGATGGATTAAAAACTAACTTTCGAAGTCTATATGCGCAGTTTTCAAATTGACCTAAACGGTATGAATTATATGAACTAATTCTTATATACTGATTGTCATCTGGACCAAGTATATAGAATAAAACTAATTTTGTTAAACTGTAATCAAATACTCTATGATCAAGATTTATTGTCTTAGGAACTGAATTGTAAATGATGATATACTGTTGTGCATCTGAAATATCAATCATTGCAAATTCTAACACTCTAACATGATCATATGATTTAATAACTAGGTCATGATCTAAGTTTTCAATTTGAGAATCAATCTTTTGACCATTTTGATCAAAGAATTCTTCTTTGTTTAATGCCAAGAAAAATAGTTTCTGGGCTTCTGGCCTGATAATTGATACCTGCTGGCCTGGAGGAATGTATAATGAATTAAATCCAAGCCTTGAATTGAAATTATTATTACTATCGGCATATTCATTTCCTACTGTACTACCGCACAAACCTTGTTCCAAGAGGCTATAGAATGAATTTTTGTTATTTGGTGTGGCATATATTGTAACAAGATGATTGGAATAGCTCATTTTAAAGGACTTGACATTGGTAAATGTTGAGGTTTCTTGATTAATGGATTTATATGCCCCATTGACATATACTTCTATATTTGAATATGAACTTAAATCTGGCTTATAAACTTCAAATTTAACAGTCACTTCTTCATCAAATATTAAATTCTTTCGCTCACTATTGAACATAAATAGTTTTTCGATTGGATTTTGATATATTGAATTAGTATTGGACATAATTGTTATTGGATGAGGTCTACCATCAACAGATTCCAAATAAAGTGTTCCTAACTCTCTAATAACTTTTTGTGGATGAGACCAATTGAAATGAACAAAACTCTTAGTGTTGCTAATAAATACACTTGAACTGTCTTTAATATCTAAATACACTTTATCTGTATTTTGTGTGTAGGTACCATCAACTTGCAATTGTGACATTGTACAGCCAATGCATGATCCGGTTTCAACCATTGGTAAGATTTCTTTTACACTAAACAACTTTGGAGTTTCTCTGGTAATTTTTGGCGAATTTACAGAAACAAATCCAACTTTGCGTCTTTTTGGATCCACTTGGTCCCATAGAATATTTACATCAATTGCAGATTGCGTTGTATATGGCTGCTTTGGATAGTACTTATTTTCAGTATTAATTACTGAGTTCCAACGTTGAGTTGTATATACATTACCATTATCTGTTTCAACTGTAACTGTATGTGGATCGTCGTTGTATGATATCAAACATGATGTTCGAGCTGCATTGTCAGTTTTAGACCAGTAACTATAGCCACCAGCATTATATAGAATGGAAAGGTAATAGCATTGGTCCGCTCTAAAGGATAAAATTGTAACTGTTCGTGTTGGACTGTCATATGAAAATTCTTTTCCAAATTTGATATATACAAAATTCGTAACATCTTTATCCTCATATTTAAGTCCTTGTGGATTTGAAATATATACAACATATATCCTATGTTCACGTTGGTTGTTGAAATATACTCCTGGTGATTTCAATGTTACTTGTTTCCTTTCTCCAATAGAATTGACTGAAATTTGATTGTATTTAAAGCCTGTATATTCTCCAAAAATTGCTCTTCCATATTCATTTGAGTTAAAAACACCAGGCTTATATCCTTCGGGAATTGTCATTCCATTATTTGAAAATCTTTCAAAATATAACCCAAAATGAGATCTATGCTCAGTATCACCATAAGTAGTTCCAGAACTCACCCAAAGATATCTAGAGTTATATATGGATCTAGAATATTCATCCTTAGCCTGATTTGCTTGTTTAAAAGTTTGGTCAGCTTCATAGAAAATAGCAGCTGCTTCTATTGCTCCATTATAATCTTTAATATTAGATCCAAAAAATTCAAAATTACAATTTGCATATGACACGGCAATTAAATCATAACCAACTACACCCCGGGTCATTTTTGAGTGATCAATCATGTATCTTTTATTTGGCTCATCAAGAACAACGAAGGAAACTCCATTGGTTCTGCTCATTGTAACATACAATATGTATAAAGTTTTCGTTCCGGAAATGGATTTTACTTTTAGTGATTGAATATTTTCATAGTTTGAATCCAAGATACGATTGTATTCGTTTTTAAATATTGTTGGATTTAAAATGCATATTTCGGTAATTTTTAATGGTTTCGCAAAAGTTATTGTAGTGATTGATTCAGAAATTTGAAGTGTAGACATTCCTTCTTGTATTGTAACTTCGTTGCTAACAGAAAGATATAAAAGCAGATAGAACATTTGAAAATTTATGATTTGTGAGTTAGACAATTTTGATTGAAACCTCCAAAAGTCGTATATTATATTTTATATGAATAGATTGTATTTTAATTAATTGGAAAATTTTAGCGTCAAACCTCCATAAGTCGACTTGATAATGTTTTTGATAAAAATGAGATTATGATTAAACTAGATTATAAAATATCTTTTTCAGCTTGTAATGTAATAAACAGAAATTCATCAAAAGTGACAGCTCTCAATTTTTTGACATTTGTAAATTCTAAATTGAATGAGAAAAATGAAATAATACTAAACATAATACAATATTCTAGATTTAATTAATTAAAAAAGTTAGTTTTGAGAGTACTTTTCATAGGCATATAGAATGAAATCTTCTGAAAAATAATATCACATAAACTCATATTATTTTCTAATATATAACTATTTTATATAAAAATCAAATTCAATGATCTTAAAAGCGAAGGATAAACCTCAAAATTTACGAATATAATGAGTGGGAATATAATGCTTATCTATCATAAAACCATATGAAATATCAATTTTTGCTTTACGCCTAATTTTTGACGACAATTAGCAAAAAATGTTAAATGTTAACACTCAGTCCATTTGAATATGAAAAATAAAATTGACTTTGATTAAATGTTTTTATTTATCATGCAATTCTTCTTGCGACCAAAGAGTTGAATAAAAGTTCAAAAAATAAGATAGCTTAAAAAATAATATACGGTAGTGTTTACTAATAGATGAATAGTATATAAATTCTATTAAAATGGATTGATCCAAAAAATATATAAAATTTGATCATAAATAAAAATCGTTTTAAATTACTTCTTCATTTAAATTATAACAATTATTTTTGGTTTTATATTTTTTTGGATCAAATCCATTTTAATAGAATTTATATACTATTCATCTATTAGTAAACACTACCGTATATTATTTTTTAAGCTATCTTATTTTTTGAACTTTTATTCAAATCTTTGGTCGCAAGAAGAATTGCATGATAAATAAAAACATTTAATCAAAGTCAATTTTATTTTTCATATTCAAATGGACTGAGTGTTAACATTTAACATTTTTTGCTAATTGTCGTCAAAAATTAGGCGTAAAGCAAAAATTGATATTTCATATGGTTTTATGATAGATAAGCATTATATTCCCACTCATTATATTCGTAAATTTTGAGGTTTATCCTTCGCTTTTAAGATCATTGAATTTGATTTTTATATAAAATAGTTATATATTAGAAAATAATATGAGTTTATGTGATATTATTTTTCAGAAGATTTTGTGTTCTTCTTCAAAATTTTATTTTTTATTAAAAAGAATCTTTACAAAATATACATTTACTTTAATTAATATTTAAAAACGTGCTCTATCAAAAGTTCCAAAAATTCAATATTTTAGCTTTTCTGAAGTGTCACTTTTGATGAATTTCTGTTTACAACAGTAACGACTAGAAATTTTTTTAAAACCGGAAAATCATATAAATATAGTATGTTTCTGAAGTATGATTACATTTAATTGGAACTTTCTTATTCAATTACTTCATAAAAGAATCTAAATTTTGAGAGGAAACTCAATTTATAAAATCTCAATTCGTATTTATTTGAAATTCTGAATTCAATCCATTATTTTTTTAATTCCGAGAAAAACGGTTTATTTGAATATATTTATCAATTGAGAATAGTAAATTATTGAATTTAGACTATAAACTATAACTCATTCGATTTTCTTAAGGGAGGCTTCCGACAAGATAACGCTTTCAATTTTTTATGATGTTTACAAAAAAGTGAGATTCGTTAAACGTTTTTCTCGTTGAATATTGAGTTTTCCGAATTTTAAGCTATTCATAAAGCACCTCTATATTATCCCCTATCTATCGATATGATTATTTTTGAAAAAGCTTGCTATGAATTCGGAAATGATTTTTTCGAAAAAAATCGAAATTTTCTAGACTTTTTCTGAGAAGTTTTTTTAGGCCGTTATATCGAAAAATTATTTTTTTGATGAATGATATAGGTAGAATACTATTCCAAAATTATATTTATTATAATTTTGGTCGATAAAAATAAGCGGATTCAAAACTGGCAAAAAGGGCTTCGGCAATTTGTGGACGATTCCGAACTGCCTCTTTTTTGAATTTTAATAAGAAAAATAGATTCATCACTATGTATAGATATTAAAAAACTTGGTTTTAAATTCATCGTTTTTTGTAGTCACGTAGTAGTATATGTGGAAGGGTTTAGTGACTTTTTTTGTTACATCTATATATAGACGATGCATTAAAATATAAATCATAAAAGTATATGTGGAAGTGTTGTGTACGAAGTATATGTGGAAGGGTTTTGTATCATTTTTTGTTACATCTATATATAGACGATGCATTTATTTATAAATCATTAAAAAATTAACATTAATTTTAAAATAATTTATTTTTTTATCTTTTATAAAAGAAGCTATATATAGATGATGTCAGATATTCCGCGATTAATTAAACATTGTTTAAATCCTGAATGGGTTAAACTTCAATTTAAAAATGAAGATTGTGAATTATTAAATGAATATGAAAGCCAAAATAAGCTAATGAGGTATAAATATAATGATAAAGAATATTTAATTTCATGGAATCAATGGAGTCATAATCAAAGACCTCATAAACGAGAAGAAGAAATTGAAAATAATGAAATGGAAATCATTGATGACATTAAAGAGGATGGAATTCCTAAATTTTGTAGAAAAACCTTTAGAACTAAGTTAGGAGCATATAAACGTAGAGTATTAAATCCTGAATACATAAAACATTTATTTAAAAAGGAAGACTGTGAATTATTAAACGTTAATGAATATGAAAATGCTAAATCAAAATTGAAATATAAATATATTGGAAGTGATGAAAGGTGTAAAGATAAAGATAAAGTTTATTCAGTTTCATATAATAACTGGCACACGTTAGGGATAAGAAAACATTTAGGAGATTATGGTAAAAGTTCTGAATTCTTTAAATCTAGTATGTACGAGAGAGTAAAAGAAATTAGAAATAATTATTTTCATGAATAAAAAATAAACTTTAAAAATTCATGTCTTACATTTTTTGAATAATTTATTTTTTTAATTTATGAAAATGAGTGGATCAAGATTCGTAACCGTCAATCAATTAATGGATGTTCTTTCACCAATTCTTGAAAATGTTAAACAAGTAGATGTTTATTTCGATGATTATGTAGAAAGTTATATTATAAAGGTAAGTTTAATATTAAACCTATTGCTTTTGCATTTGATAATAAATTAATTGAAAATGCAAAAATTTGGGAATTAATTCCAGATATTGAATTATAACAAATATTAATGATAAATGGTTTAAACGAATTCCAACCACAAAAGTTCTTTGTAAATTAATGATCAAAACTGAGGAAAAAGAATTTAACGGGTTTAAATATCATCCAAATAAAGTTTCAGAACTAGAAAATGAAAAACTTCAGAAAAAATTAAACGATAGACTTTCAAATGATCGTATTGAAAAAATAAATAAACTAGCAGAAGTTGCATTTAATAATGAAATATTTGATGAATATAACCTTGAACTCAGTGATGGACTTTAAGTCTTGGGCTTTAAGGACCCGGGCTCAACGAGTCATGATTTATGATATCAATTATTTGATTTATTCTTTCTTCAATAATTTCTATTCTTTTTGTTAAATCATCTATTTTCATTAATGAGGTGATTCTTGATTGAGGAATAGATTTCAAACTAACCACTCTTTTATTTTTGAAATTTTGAATCCATGACCCTCCGGGTCTTGGACTCTGTCCTCAACTTTAAACATTTTATTCAATTTACATGTTGTCAATTCTTCAAATAATTTTTTATTATTAGCATAATAGTCATTAAATTCATCAACAGATGAAAAAATTTTTATTTCAGTAATTGGTTTAACAACGTTTATTTTTTGTTGAACATTTTCACTTTCATTTATTTCTTCCTCCTCTGTTTCATTTATTTTTAAAATCGGTTTCATTTATCATTAAATAAAAATTAGAATATAAGTGATGAAATATATTTTTTAATTAATATTAAATCAGAAATGGCGGCAGGATTCTTTAAAAAATTATGGGATGGAATTAAGAAAGCTGCAGGTTGGGTTTATAAAAAGGTTATTAAACCTGTTGCAAACTTTTTGGCACCAGTAGCGAAAACGGCAGGAACTATCATAGGTGGAGTATTAGGTACTAAAGCAGGTAATCCGGCGATGGGAGCACAAGCAGGTAACGCAATTGGTGGAATTGCTGAAGGAATACTTAATAAAATAGGGGGTAAATAGTGGAAAAATAAATAAATATTATTTTTATCTTAGTATCGGTTGTAGTCTTTGATAAACTTTTTCTCCTTTATTTAAAATTTCTCTTATTGGGGCAGCTTTTGGCGTTATTGATTCAGCAACGTCACTAATTGCTTCTTTATTCTTAAATATCCAATTTGCTCCTTTCTTCATTGTTTCCCAAACTTTATGCGCTCCTCTTTTTACTTTATCCCACAGTTTCTTAAAGAATCCTGCAGCCATAGTTGATTATTTCATTAAAATTAAAAATTCATTTTCATCTTTTAATTTTGATTTTTTATTTAATAATAAATGACGACTAACTATTTGTGCCAAACACTAAACCATTAATGGAAATGTATTTCATTCATTCGAAAAGATAAATGAAATATTCGCAAAGAATGACGGAAGAAGATATTATAGAGAACTTGAAAGTTCATGCTATGACTCTGATGCTCCATATTTTGATGATAAACAAACTCATTTAAGAATTACAAATCCGGCTCATGATGTGAACCAATTAGGTGACACATATATTAAACGCAAAGTTAAAGCAACTCTAGTTTCAAATAAAGCTTTCACATGTGATGCCGCTTTTAAATGCATGCGTTTATTCGTTGGTTA